TTTATTCGTATGTTCATTCTGCTTCCACCAGCCTCGGAGATCCTCGTCCTGAGTGTTTAACTTAACTGATTTTCCTCGTACTGATTTTAACTTAACTTCCAACAGCCTCGGAGATCCCTCGGCGTCGCCCACTTGTCCTCTCTCAAACTTGATGCTGCTGATAGACACAAGGGGGGGGAGACTCGGAACTTACCGTACCGACTGATCGACCGTTATAAACCGTTGCCCGTGTCGCCACCGTACCATCTACCGTACAGAGTCAGCGACAACTTGTATTCCGGCATTGAAACAGGGCCACAGTAAAATCGAGTACCTTGCGAGCCTCGGAGCAGGTTCTTGCTGCCAACTTGGTACTGCTCGGTCACCTGCTGGGGAGGCATGTGCGACAGCGGGTGCTGAGGCTGGCAAGTCATGAGGATGCTGGCTTCGCTTCTCCTCTCTTGGCTCTCGGCTCTCCCTCCCTTCTCTTCCCTCCTCCTCCTCCTTGTCTCCCCCCCCGAAGCCTCACGGGCTGCTGACGCTGACAGCGAGTGCTCACGGCTCCTCCGCTGCGTCGCTCAGAGGTCAAGTGCAGTGATGTCTGCTGTACTGGCGATGCCAGACCAGCCAGCTAGACTCCAGCAGCAGACAGCAGCCCCTTGTACCTCAAGAGGCTCATCCTCGTACAGCCTGAGGGAAGGACTAGCGCTACTGCTCCTTGCTGCTCGAGCTCACTCGCCTCGTGCCAGCTCTCGCTCCTCGCAAGCCTCTGCTCCTCGTCCTACCAGCAGTGAGGGAAGCCACCCGTACTTGCGAGTCTCTCTCAGCCACCAGGGGTCATCCTCCCGAGCACATCTAGTCCTTGTATGCATCAAGCGCTTTGAGAGTCGTTTGACTGACTTTGTTGACGATCAAGGCTGAGACTAGCCTTGAGTGCTGTCCCCTAGCTGGGGTAGGTCCAGTCTGAGGTGAGCTCGCTTTTACTAGGGCTCTGATAGGTATGAGAGCGATATCTATGGCTGCAGCTTGTTGGCTCAGTCTGAGACTAGTCGATACCTAAACCTCTAAGATAATCCTTGACATCTGAGTTAGGAGTCATGGTGAAACAAGTCCAGCCGTGCTTGTCCTTCTCCCTCAGCACCTTCTTCCCGCATGTCTCTACAACATACCGCAGCACCTCCAAGTCCCCTCCCTCACTCGCCATGTGCGCGCATGTCCAGCCGTCATTGTTCTTCTCCCTCAGCACCTCCTCCCCGCATGTCTCTACAACATACCGCAGCACCTCCAAGTGCCCTCTGAGACTCGCCGCATGTGCGCATGTCTTGCCGTACACGTCCTTCTCCCTCAGCAGCTCCTCCCCGCATGTCTCTACAACATACCGCACTACCTCCAAGTGCCCTCCCTCAATCGCCAAGTGCGCGCATGTCTGGCCGTACTTGTCCTTCTCCCTCAGCACCTCCTCCCCGCATGTCTCTGCAATATACCGCACTACCTCCAACCGCCCTCCCTCAATCGCTGCATGTGCGCATGTCTGGCCGTACTTGTCCTTCTCCCTCAGCACCTCCTCCCCGCATGTCTCTACAACATACCGCAGCACCTCCAAGTGCCCTTCAGCACTCGCCATGTGCGCGAATGTCCTGCCGTTCATGTCCTTCTCCCTCAGCAGCTCCTCCCCGCATGTCGCTACAACATACCGCAGCACCTCCAAGTGCCCTCTCCCACTCGCCTCATGCGCGCATGTAACGCCGAGCTCGTCCTTCTCCATCATCAAGGTCCTCAGAGTCTCTTTCCCGCATTCTTCCTCTACCGTCTTCAGCACCTCCATGTGCCCATACTCTGCCGCCCAGTGTACCAACGTCTTCCTTTCTACGTCCTTCGCTCCTACCTCTGCTCCTGCCTCGATCAGCTCCCTCACGCTCCCCGCCCTCCCCAGCATCCCCGCTACATGCAGCCCTGTCCTCCCGTCCTCCGTCCGCTCGTCCATGTCGCATCCGGTTGCCTTCAGCAGCCCGATCAGCTCCCCCTGTCCTCGTACCACCGCCGTCACTGTCGGCGGCTCCCCGTGCTGGCCCGACCTTGACATCGACAAGCCGTACATCCCGCACAGCCTCTTGCTCTGCTCTCGTCTGCCGTCATCGCCTGCTGGAGTCCGCGAGCTGATCTCGTACATCAGACCCGCCATCGTCTTCCAGTACACTGACTGCATCGGCTCGCCTATCAGGGCTTCACATTTCTGGTCTCCCTGAGTGTCTTCGATCCAGTGCCTGAGCTTGTTGATCGCCATGTCCTTGACTCGGTTCGACAGCTCGATCACCTCCTTGTAGTTTGACTCGTCGTTGTACCAGCCCGACTCCCTCGCCCTGCTCGCCTCCACCAGCCCCCAGCACTCCCTCACGATCGATTGTACAAGACCACGATGGATCTTGTAGAAAGAGTCGAGTGTTGCTGTCCTGAGCCGCTCCTGGATCCTCCCTTCCCACCCCCTCACGTCTCGCTCTACCTCCCTCGCCAGGTTCTCCATCAGCCCTACGTACAGCTGCTTCCTCTTCCCCACAAAGTCCTCGATCGTCAAGCTCATCGTGTTCGCGTTGATCTTCAGCTCCAGCACCTTCACCTGCCTCCCCTCTACCTCCCTGTACCGCGGCGTCTTCACCACCTCCAGGTACGACAGCGGCGGATACAGCATCTCCCCCTCCCCCGGATACTGAGACACAAACGTCAAGCTCGCCCCCCGGTCGATCGCCCCGCAGCTGATCTCGAACACGATCGACTCTCCCTCCTCCCCGGCGTACTGCATCGCCGTCCTGACCTCTGTCGTCGTGCTCAGCAGCCCGTACTCGACTCCTCCGGACACCCCGAGCTCGTCCTCGTTGAGGAAGCTCTCCGGCAGCCTCATCCCCTTCAGCCCCCTCCACACCCGCAGCCCCTCCGGCAGAGGCGTGTGACGAGACAGCTTCACGATGCCGCTGACGATGCAGTGGATGGTCGTCGTGTACTTGTTGGGGACCTTGTTGGAGTCTCGGAGGAGCTCGTTGGGAGCTCGAAGAACAGAGTTGTACTTGAAGTACATCGGCCCTGTCATGGCAAGCCTCTTGTCAGCCATCTCACGCTCTCTTGCTCCTCTCTCCTCCCCCATGCTCCTTCTCCCTCTCTCTCGCTATCTCTCTCTCTTACCTGTGTAGAGCTGCAGCGCGATCAGCTCCGCCTCCTGCAGCTTCGCCTTGATCGCCGTGTCCAGCCCCTTCAGCTCCTCCATCCCTCGGATCACCCGCGTCCCGTCCGACAGCCTCCGCCTCCTCTCCGGGTCTGTGACGTTGAGCCACTCCTCCTTGGCTGTCGTCGTGATCCCGTAGTTGCTCGTCGTGAACGCTTCCTCCGCGTCCTTGCCCTTGCAGTGCTCCTCCTCTATCGCCTTCATCAGCTCCGTCTGAGGTAGCCCGATCCGCTCCATCAGCCCCCCGTAGTACTCCTCGATCTTCCCGTACACGGCCTCGCGTACCTCCGCATACTTGCTGTTGTGCGACGTCGGACCGTCTCCTCCCGCCCGCCCTCCTGCCTCCGCCGGCCTCCTCAGCGCCTCCTCGAGCCTCCTCCCTATCGCCGTCTGCCATAGAGCCGATAGAGCGCTCTCCGTCATCCCCTGTAGCCCCGCAAGAGGACTCGCCGCGCTCCCGCCGGGGATGCACTCCGCCATGACTCGGAGGATGTTGAGGTCGCCGAGGCTGCTGGCCTTGCGCTCGAGCTCCCACTCTCTTGCGACTCTGACCTCGTAGTCGTCGTACGAGAGCTTGTCAGGGCTGAGGGCCGACGCGTCGACGCCGAGAGCCATGCGGAGGTTGTTGAGAATCGTTTTGTATTCCTCGGAGTCTTGAGGGGTCTGAAAGAGCTTCTTGAGGTCAGAGCTGATGTCGTCGGGGATAGTCCAGCTGGTCGTCTGCTGGGTACTAGCTGGTGGATGAGCCGTGGGATGGCTGATTTGAGATTTGATCTCGATGTCTGTCTTGTTTGATGGCCGAGTCCTAGGGCTGGAGATGCTTGACGGAATGGTCTCTACGTCTCCTTGAGGGGCTGGGGGATCTTTGACAGTCTGCTTTCTCAGCTCAGCCTCGAGCTCTGAGATCCTTCTTGTCGCTTCTTCCAACCTCTGCTGGAGTAGCGAGTCATCACGACCCTCCTCGGGCTTCACTTTGGACGAGAAGCAGGGGAAGCAACTCATGTCCCTTTCTCAGCCCAGGGAGATACCTGCTACAGGAGCTTGCATCAGCCGGCTTCAGATATCCTCTGTCCTCCACCACTCTCTCCCTCCCTCTTTTTACGTCTCTCTATCTTGGATCTTCCTCTGTTTGTGGTTCGGTTTACACCACAACGATCGGATTACAGAACAGCACAGCTTTGTGATGTACACCTGAGGCTTTTTGTCTATACACTCTGATCCTACTGCCTGCAACTGCAACACCAAGAGCGTATCAGTCGCCTGCTCTTTCAGAGCTTATCAAGTATTCACCTCAACAAGTGCCGTCTATTCTTCATCATAAGACCTATCACTCATTCTGACTTCCCCTCTCTTGCTCACTTATCCATGCATGTCTTATTCTCTCTCGAGTTTCTGCCCTGCTTCCGACTCTGCCTCCTTCTCCCACGCCGTCTCCTTTCTCCCTTTCAGTGACTGTTCGTAGAGAGAGAGATGAAAAAAAGACAGCGAGGGAAGAGAAGGCAAGGAGAAAGAAAGAAATAAGGAGATCAAGAGAGCAAGCTTCTCCATCCTTCCTTGACACAGCAAGAGAGGGATCAAGAATGCCGAAAACACATTAATCAAGCACAGAGAAGGTTTCCTCGCTCCTCTTGGTATTCTTCATATTTCATCCCTTCCTTCAGCCGTTTCTTTGCCCTCCTCTCTTCTCCTTTCTTCTGTCGGTTGTCACGTCTCCTTCTCTCTGCAGCAGCTACAAGACATCTCTCACACACTAGCGACATGACAAGCTTGTCGTCATCCTCCCTCAAGCTCCTTCCATCCTCTCTCCCTCTCTCCTCCCGCTCTCCCCCTTCATCCTCCTGCCATATTTCCCGCCCAACCACCCCCCTACATGGAGCCCAACCCTAGTCGTATATCACCCTCTTCAATCCCATGGTTTATGCGTATCAGGTACGGGTGGGTGACGCCAGCCTACCCTACCTGTTGATGTATTTTGCACTGCCCTACCCCACCCCAAGAAGCTCCAGGTTTCCGCCAGTCAGCGTAAGGGGTGGACGCTAACTGATGAGCAACGGTTCCGAGGCGGACTGCTACCGATGAAAACCGTTGAGAGGATTGACTAACTTAGTCATCTACTGCGATGGTCGAGGGCCGTGTGGCCAAGAACCCGGACTGACTCTCCTCCTCGTCTCCACATCGCCATACCTCCCCGCCGTCTCACTGAGCCCAGGCTCTTGCTCAGAGCAGCCTCGCGAGCAAGCCTACAAGCTCACTGCTCTATCTACACTGACTACAACCCCGGGCCCGGGGTATGAGCTCTGATAGTCTCGGCTGACTACCGGTACTCCTGAGCTCGATCCACCCTTGAATGCAGGGGTCAGCTGGCGAGGGCCTCGGAGCAGACCTGGGAGGGGTCAAGACCAGGGGTTGTGAGTGAGCTGGAGGCTTCTCCGAGGCCGGGCTGCTCGTGTCACGGTCATGCGTCTAAGAGCGCTCGAGTGATCCCCTAGCAACAAGCTTCATCTCCATCCATGATGACTAGATGTCACTAGACAAGACAAGAGGCCAAATAGGCAACATGACTGTTCCTTCTTGACTCAACTAAATGTTGTTCTCCTCGTTACTGAATGTTGTGAGACGCAGTAGAGTGAAACGAACTCTGATCGATCAAACATTCAAGATCCGGAGTTACACACTGTGTGAGCGAGTGCTCAGTGACCCGAGGAGCAGTAATGAGATCAGAGCCGCGAGCAGCTGAGAACCCCCTGATCAGCACACGATGACTCTTGGGACAGACGATGCTCGGCACGAACCAACTTGTCTCTTCGTCTCGGGTCGACGCGCGGCGTCAGGTGACCGATGACAGCGTCTCACGCGGGAGAGTGGAAGAAGGTGTTGCCAAGACAAACAAGAGTCCGAGTAAAGTGACTCTACAGCAAGATGGCGTGATGGGTGCGAGGGAGAGATGCATGGGAGGAGAGAAAGGAAAGCAAGTGATCATTCAGGAGGAAGAGGTTGGAGGCCTTGTCTTGTCCAAGGGGAGGATGGATGAACACATCGGGGGGGTTGGAATCGCGTCCATGAGAGAGGAACGATAGCGACTCAGTCGTCATGCTTCTGATGGTGGTCTTTGATAGCCACGTCAGCGGTCAGCACAAGACCAGATCCATTCCTCAGCACCACCCCCTCCCCCACCACAGGGCCGAAGCCACCCCTCCACCATAGTCCATACACGCCAACTTTCATTAACGGGTAACCCGGTCTCACTCGATCCCTTGCCAGAGAAGACCTCGCGAGACATCCTAGTAGCCTATGACCTGTCTACACATCCGGGTGCTATCTAGCCTAACAGTCTGACCTGACTACGGGTACTCCTGAGCTCGGTCCTCGGCGTTGAGCCAAGTAGGTTGGCGAGTGTCTGCCGGTACACTCGGAGGACTGTTTACGAAGCGGCGGCTCTTGCACACAGTCGCTCGGAGCTTGCGGAGTTGTGTGACACTGGAATGAGTTTCAAAGTCTCAAAGACTTTGAAATTCTCGGGTCTGATTTCAAAATCAGACTCGAGACTTCCGTGCGTCACACAACGTCGGTGCACTTGGAACAAGCTTGATTTCGATCCGTCATGACCCAGGAGTCACAAGCCTCGTATACATGCCCAACCATGTTGATCTCATGTCTGGTCAGTCATAATGTCTTCTGCAGTTTCTCTTTGTTGGTGTTTTTTTCGTTTCTGCTGCAAACTCATGCAATCCCATCAAGTCTCGTTACACACATTCGGATGACTCTTCTCTTCAAACAGGCTCTCTCTCTAGCCGCAAGTTGTTTCAAGTCAGCCCTATCACTAGTATCCCAGCCACAATCTGTTTGATCGATCTTCGGATGCACTCTAGGAACAACAAGCCTCTCCCCAGCCAGATTGGTCGGTCGGATATCAGCTACACTGCGGACCGGACATGAAGTTGCCGGAAAACACTGGGAGCTGCTAGTCGATTCCGAGTCTGACTGTTATTTCAAGTCTCTTGATCGTCAGCTTTGAGTAGGATCAAATCAGCAACTCCCAGGAGACTGCGATCGAGGGACGTGTTGATGTCACAGAGCTACTGGTGGCTAGCCTTACACATGAGAGACTGCCGGAGCTACTTGTGGATCGGTGAGCAAGCTCACTTGTGCATCGGTGAGCAAGCTCACTTGTGCATCGGTGAGCGAGCTCACTTGTGGATCGGTGAGCAAGCTCACTTGTGCATCGGTGAGCAAGCTCACTTGTGCATCGGCGAGCAAGCTCACTTGTGCATCGGTGAGCAAGCTCACTTGTGCATCGGTGAGCAAGCTCACTTGTGCATCGGCGAGCAAGCTCACTTGTGCATCGGTGAGCAAGCTCACTTGTGCATCGGTGAGCAAGCTCACTTGTGCATCGGCGAGCAAGCTCACTTGTGCATCGGTGAGCAAGCTCACTTGTGCATCGGTGAGCAAGCTCACTTGTGCATCGGTGAGCAAGCTCACTTGTGCATCGGTGAGCAAGCTCACTTGTGCATCGGCGAGCAAGCTCACTTGTGCATCGGTGAGCAAGCTCACTTGTGCATCGGTGAGCAAGCTCACTTGTGGATCGGTGAGCAAGCTCACTTGTGGATCGGTGAGCAAGCTCACTTGTGCATCGGCGAGCAAGATAAGACCGCACAACCTCTTCAAATGCCTTGAAACGGATGTTCCACCCTCGCGACAGCAATCTCTGGTTACAAGATCTTTACGGTTCAAGTATCATCTTGTGGTGATCAAAAGCCGGCGGGCAAGCTTGTCTCTCCTTGTTCAAGTTCCTCTCTTATCTTCTCTCTATCATACTTCCTCCCTACATCACCCCTACTCTGACGCTCTCCCATGACCCCCACCCCTCCTTGTCCGTACCCACCCCTCTCTTCCCGTCGCGTCTGGTTAACTTCCTCCCCTACATCACCCCTACTATGACGCTCTCGCATGACCCCCCCCCCCACACACACACCCCTCCTTGTCCGTACCCACCCCTCTCTTCCCCTCGCGTGTGGTCAACTTCCTCCCCTACATCACCCCCTACTCTGACGCTCTCTCATGACCCCCCGACCCTCCTTGTCCGCACCCACCCCTCTCTTTCCCCTCGCGTCTGGTCAACTTCCTCCCCTACATCACCCCCTACTCTGACGCTCTCGCACGACCCCCCACCCTCCCCGGCTCACCCCTGACCCCAGGGGCCCCACCCACCCCTCTCTTTCCCCTCGCGTCTGGTCAACCTCCTTCCCCGGCCATCTCCTCGCGTCTGATGAGCTGGAGGGAGAGAGGAGGGGAGGGAGGAGGGAACGGCAGAGGAGAAGAGGGAAGGTAAGAGCCAACCTTGCTCAAGCTTCTCTCACATGATACAAGTCTCCTCCTCCCCTCCCTCCCCTCCGCTTCTCTCCTCCTTCCGTCCTTGATCCCCTCCGCTGCCTCCTCGCCTGTAGCAGCGACGTCGTCATGCCCTCTCTCCCCGAGCTCGCATCGGATGTTGCATGGCGTCTTGCCATGCTCAGCTGGGCTGTCGGCTTGCGCCGTAGAGCAGAAGCGAGCACTAGCCCGCATAGACAGACATGGGGGTGGAGGACGAGAAGAGCTGAGAGGTAGAGAGCAAGATGCGCTTCTATCAAGTACAATCAAGGTTGACCGCAACATTGCCCGACAAGCTGAGAAAGCTTCAGCCCCCTACTCGACGCTCGTCTCACCGCCAGCTCTTGCCCCTAGCAGCACGAACACGCTCTG